CTGTCCCCCTCCCTTCCCCCGCTCCGGTGCATTCGGCGTACCCCTCCTCCGCCTCCTCTCCTGACCCGCCTTACTCGGAAACGTAGGGAACATCTCGCGGCTCTTCGCCCTCGGCTCCTCGCGAAAATACGCACTCCTCAGCACCTCATCCGCACTCGGCCGACTCCCCGGATCCAAGCCCAACAAGCCCGTCAACAGTCTCCCCCCTTCAGCGGTTAGGAACGGGAACTTGGCCCGCAGCACCGAGCCCTGCGCTACGGGGTTCTTGGGCAGTTTCAGCGAGCGCGCGTTGGGGAGGCGTCGGAAGGACGGCCAGTTGCTCTCGGTTGGGATCCCGCAGAGTTCGAAGATGCGCGAGAGCTGGTCGACTTCGTTTTTTCCGGGCAGCAGCGCATCTTTGTGTAAAAGCTCGCCGAATATGCAGCCGATGGACCACATGTCTACGGCGCGCCCGTAGTGCGTGGCGCCGAGCAGGAGTTCGGGCGCGCGGTACCAGAGGGTTACTACTAGTTGGGTCATTTTGGGGGAGGGGTCGCCGAAGTAGCGAGCCTAGAAGGAGGTGGGTGGTTAGTATAGGTTGATTTGGGAGGGGGTGTTATGGATATAGGTACTTACCATGCCGAAGTCTGCGATTTTTAATACACCGCGGTTGTTAAGGAGGAGATTGGAAGTCTTGAGATCCCGATGTAGGATCCAGTTACTGTGTAGGTAGGAGATGCCGGAGACAAGCTGGGAGAGGAGGGTTTTAGTTTCGGAGGGGAGGAAGGGTTCGGGCATGTCTTCGAGTAGAGTTTTTAGGTCGTGCTCGAGGAAGTCTAGGACAAGGAAGATGCTATTTCTGAGTCAGTATGGTGTTTTGTAAATGATTGAACAGTGATAAAAAAAGAGTGCATAATCATACTTCTCAATCTTTCTCGTATCCTCTCCAACAACCACCTCCCTCAAGGCCACGATATTGATATGTTCACAATCCATCAACGTCTGTATCTCCCTCAGCCCCGTAACAGGCACCCCATCATTCGCATTATCCATCTTCAGCCTCTTCAGTGCCACAACCTGCCCCGTCTTACTATCCTTCGCACGGGATACCCATCCATAAGCACCCTCTTCAATATCATTCAGTTTCTCATAGTCCTCGACGCTGCGGCACTTCTTCCAGTTCGGGGCTGGGAATCGTAGGAGTTTTGCTGGAGGAAGCTCGGCTTGAAGCACGGGCGGGGCCGGGGGCGAGGGCGAGAGTTTGCGGCGTTTAGAGGGTGGTTCTGATTCTTGGGCTTGCTGTTGCGATTGCGATTCTTGCTGCTGTTTGAGACGTAGAGCTGCCTCATCGGCTTTCCGCTGTTTCTCAGCTTTCAACCGCTTCTTCTCCTCCTTCTCCTTCTTACGCTGTGCTTCAAGCGCAGCATCATCTTCATCATCTGCCCAACGGGATTTTCCTTTGCTGCTCATCTTGTTGTTGTGGTGTTGTATTGGAGTGGGGAACTTGGATTTGCGATTGGAGCTTCGTCAAATTTTGGAGCCTTGTTCAGCCGAACTTTGTTGCTTCCACAAGGCTGACGCTAAATTTTTGAGAAGGCTTGGAATCCAACGATAATCAGCTGGAAATGGCCGTTATGAGGTCAATAGTTTCGGCGCAGACGCGTAATATACTTCGAAGTGCTGCGAGAGGAAGTTATGGGGTTCCTTGCGCTGCTGTGAGGTGGTCGTCGTCGGAGGCAAGGCAATGGTCTACGCCATTGGCAAAACAACTTTCTGAAGCTATCACTGTACCAGTTTATTCCTCCAAAGCTCCCACAGACACGTACTGATTCAATATGTAGGCAACTGGACCAATTCCCTTAGCGTCGTTCATGCGAATGTGCTTGACCTCTGACATTGGAGGGTATTATACATCCAAGCAAGAGGGACGAGACCAGTTTGGGCAGAAGGGGGATTTTATCACATCTCCTGAGATATCGCAGATTTTTGGGGAGCTGATAGGGATTTGGTTCGTAGCGGAATGGATGGCACAGGGGAAGAAGAGTAAGGGGGTTGAATTGGTGGAAATAGGTCCTGGGAGGGGAACGCTGATGGATGATATGTTACGAGTATGTTCAGACCAACACTCCAATAGACGTTTACTGACCTGCTATGCAGACTATACAAAACTTCAAACCAATGGCGTCAAGCATTGAAGCCGTCTATTTAGTAGAAGCTAGTCCTGCGTTACGAGAAGCTCAAAAGCAGCTCCTATGTGGAGATGCCCCCATGACAGAAACGTCAATTGGGCATCAGAGCACAAGCAAATATGCAAACATCCCTATCATATGGACAGAAAACATACGTTTCGTCCCATCCGGTAACAAGCCCTCTTCCATTTCAAGATAGTACTAACTATACGTAGGCGAAGACAAAACCCCATTTATAGTAGCCCACGAATTCTTCGACGCTCTCCCCATCCACGCCTTCCAATCCGTCGCTCCTACGCCCTCACCCCAAGAAACTACAATCAAAACCCCTACCGGTGAACACGCCCTCTCCCCGTCCGCCCAAAAGGCAAATGCAAATGCAAAGCAAACAGGTCCCCAATGGCGCGAAATGGTCGTCTCACCAGCACCCCCACCGTCAACAACAACAACGACATCAAAAGACCAACCCCCAGAATTCCAACTCACACTTAGTAAATCCTCAACACCACACAGTCTCTACCTCCCCGAAGTCTCGCTCCGTTACAAAGCCCTGAAATCCACCCCCGGCTCACTCATTGAAGTAAGTCCCGAATCACACGCCTATGCTGCCGCCATCGCCTCCCTCATCGGCAAACCCAGCTCCGGCGCTGCATTAATCCTAGACTACGGCCCCGCGGACACAATCCCCATCAACAGTCTACGCGGCATCAAAGGCCACAAGCGAGTCAGTCCACTCAGCGAACCAGGCCTCGTAGATCTTTCCGCCGACGTGGATTTCGTGGCTCTCGCAGAAGCGGCGTGTAAAGCGACTGAAGGTGTGGAGGTCTGGGGACCGGTGGAGCAGGGGGGGTGGCTGGAGGGTATGGGGATTAGGGAGAGGGCGGAGATGTTGGGTAAGGGGCGTGGGGGGGAGGAAAAGGGAAGGATTGAGAGTGCGTGCAAGAGACTTGTTGAGAGGGGGGGTGGGGGCATGGGGAAGGTGTATAAGGTTTTGGCTATTGTGCCGGAGAGTGCGGGGCGTAGGAGGCCGGTTGGGTTTGGGGGTGATGTTGAGGGATGAAGATAGACATGTTATGTATACTACTGTATGAGTGTATATTAGAACCGTGTATGTAATCAAAATAGCCCAGCATGTCATTTATACTAAGAGAATGATGATTTACGCTAGAACTTGTAGCTGTGGGTTAAAGTTTGAGGTCATCGAACGACTATAAATTGCCTATGGTTTGTTTACTTTTCCCTGTCAACGACGTATTCTCACCTAAACATATATACAAAAACACTGTGCGAGAGCCTTTAGTCTGTTCAATTTCAGGTACATCCTTCACATCGTCATATTTCGAGAAAGAATCCTAATATTATCTTAAGAAGTTACACGCAGCCCCTGAAGCACTCTAAAATATTAAGTCTATCCTGTCAGTGCCGAAGCGTTGTTGCCCGGCCTGTGATTACTGGGTCTTTCTTTCGTTCAGCATCAATCTCATCACATTCTTGAATGTAGTAATCGAGTCCCATCCGATGGCACACGTCTTCTCATTGCCCCACATCCAAATATCATCATACATGCGATAGAGAATGGCTCCACCCTTGTTTATATTAAACGCAAAATCCAAGGAGAAGAAAATGCTTCCCGCTGGTACATCGCTGATAGGACTGCTTGGTTCCTCGCTTAGCGGATTCTTACTGTAGCTTCGGGGCCATCCTCATCAAACCGGTCCGGAGCTTCAAGGATGCCACGGAAGATCCTCACCCAGCTGTCCAAAATACCCAAGGACTTAAGGACGGCGAAGATAGTTTAATGAGGGAGAGTTGGGCCAACCCCTTGAAGTCTGTCTGTACGACAACTTGATCCTCGCCAAGGTGGGTCTTCATCAGTATCTCGGTCGCCATTGTGCGGAGGATTGCGTGAGACACTTTTACTATCATAAGGCGATCTGAACTCTGCTTCCCTCTGCGGGAGCTGTTAAAGGAAGACATTTTCCGTGATGTATTTCCCCACACGGTACGCTACGCTCTTTCCCCATCTCTTTACTCGAGAGATCGACCAAAGAGAAACGGTCCGATAGATCTAAACTGCCTTGCCTAGAAACGCCTAACCATTCATTCATCAGACGGCAGTAAAGCTCGGCGTACTTGTCACGTTCTGCCTGGCTGGAAAGTTCTCTTTCGAGGGTAGCCTGCCAATCCTTCGTCAAGCCGAGCGAGATTGGAGGATAATGTTCCGCTTGGTCAACGTAGGTTCGAATGTGGTTGAGTTGAAGGGGTGGTAATCTTGCTCATGGAAGGTACAGTCTCAATGCGGTCGAGAAAAGCTTTCACCTTTAGACGCTGACTAGGTTCTCTGCTTACGTCGTGGGAGAGCTGTTTCCATCCGTTTTCGAAGTTCTTCTACTTCTGGAGCAACTCAAACTTGGATTCGCTGACTGTCGCGAGCATCGCTGAGAGGACGACTGACGATGCCATGATTGCGAGGATGATCTTAAGACGGCGATAGTAGTAAGCAGAGACTGAAAGGTTTGAAAGTTTAATCAAAGGAGAGAAGTGCTGCGCAAGTAGAAGTCACGACTCGCTTACCAAATTCACTACTGCCAAAACAGAGTGAGTCAAATCTACTCCTACCAAAGACAGGGTCAGTCAAATTCACTTCTCTCCAAGATTTGAACAGAAATATATTCACTTTACTTCTCATTCCCTTCATAATAGCCAATTCCGAAACCCTCTTTGTCCAATGCTCCAAGTTAACACAGAGCGGCTTTCAAAGTGCAGTAAAAGAACAGTAACGGACTTTAAGTCGAGCTCAAAATAATAACAAATTCGAGAAAGTGATATGGAAGAGAATCTTTTCTCGCTATTACACTAATTGTTCCACGAACCCATACTTACTAATTCACATAATCAACCTTTTCCCATCAAAGAACTTGCCACTGCAACTAACTCGATTCCTCCGCGAGAACTCCAGATGCTATAAGCAACTACGGATAGTGTTAGGGAGACAATCGTGGAGCTGTGGTGGCGGGATGCGTTGCCGTATGCGGCGAAGAAGGGTGTTGATGGCCAATAGCTGGTTGCGAGGTATGTTGCGAGGGCGAGGGGGGTATGTGAGAAAGGAGTGCCGGAAGTTAGGAGGGGTGGGGGTGCAGTTTGAGTATGAGGTTATGATGGGGGTATTGGAGGTGGCGCGGAGGGAGAGGAAGTGATGGTGTTTGGTGAAAGTGATTGATAATAACCAGGTGAGAAGGGATATTGGATGTACTCTTCCCAGTAAGTGCCTGGGTCGTAAATCCCACGCAGACAGTGGCCTTCGGTACCCCTCCCCCTTAAATGATTCGCTTCAGCGGTTGCTCAGCAACGAATCAAAACAACCCCGCACCCCGCAGCATATACGGTATTCCTCTGAATACTCGACAGGAATAGAGTACAAGTAAGCGCACTTCTTTCCAACACAGGAAAGCCTCTCTTTAAACCCACACCTCAGCCATCCGCAACAATGGCTGCCGCCATCGAAGCCAAGAAAAAGCACCCCGGCGAACGGCTCGCCACCTTCTTCGACAACTTCTTCAAGACCATTCTCAGCGTCTCCACGCTCGGCGCGTCCATTACCTTTTCGAAACTAGTGGATGCGCCTACGCCGCCCCTCCACGGCCCCTTCTCCGCCAACGCTGCACAGTCGTACATGGGCGTCTCATGGCTGCTGTTCCTGCTGGACCTCGCAGCGACAGCTTTCGCGACGTGTGCGTTCACGCTGTATCGGCCACAGGCGATAGCATACTTCGGGACGGAGAACAGCGATAAGAGGCGCGTGGTCATGTGGTACGCTAGTGTGGTGTCTGCGCTGCTGTTTGGGATACTGGTTGCTGCGTTTCTGTTTCTGGGACTGGTCGTAGTTAGCTTTGCGGGCTGGACGGGCTGGGCGGCTGTGGCGCTTTCGAGTTTTGCGGGGGTGTTGGGCGGGGTGTGTATTGTTTGGCAGAGTCCGATTGGGAGTAAGGCGATTGGGGGCGTGGGACTCAGTCGGGAGGGTACGGGGATGGATGATTATAGTGGGCAGCAGAGAATTGTGAGCTTTCAGCAGCAGGTGCAGGTGCTTCCTGAGCAGGGTGTTGCATATGTTGAGGATGACAAAATCGATGTTCGGGCATATAACGATGGTGATGGGTACGATGCCGGAGGGGGGACCAGGAAGAGCTACGGGGAGGTCGAACGGGTTGTTGTTGCGAGGCCGATAGTTGCTGAAGTACCTGGATATCTGGCTGATATGCGGAGATATAGGTCCTCTAGGTCTTCGAGAGATACTAGTTATATTGCGAAGTTCTGATATTGCATAACACCGGCCAGAATACTACATCAATTCACAATCAAAAGCACCTCTGCCAAACGACTCTTCGCTGCTTCCGGATCCCACCCAACCAATTTCCGTTCCTTCATCTCTTCTAAATTATGTTCTATAATGTCTCTATAGCATTACTCACATCCTTGCTTAGAAGATGCACTCTTGTCTTCCAAAGATTGTTTTTGGACGGCCGTCGATCTAGGACATCGAAGGCATCTTCAACGCGTATTCGATACAGATTATTGAACCCGCCAAGAATCATTGGGATAATCCAGGTTACTGGCTTTCCGAATTTCTCCGTCACCAGCATTTCGAGGCGACGACACATGGACTTCTTGCTTAACGCTTTCTGGGCCTCTTCCTATTCTTCGGCATTTTTATCCCACATGAGCTCGTCAGTCTTGCCTGGCGTTTTCCCGGGTTTTTGACATCCTGACTTGATATGAAAAAACGAGGGAAGTTAGGTGGAAATTATGGCATCACCGTCGGGAAAATTGCTACCAACGATGGAATTCCCAAAATGTGATGGCGAAGGCCAGTATGTATCTTGGCAGTTGAAGGGAGTGAGGACGAGCATGAAAACGAAGACTGGCTAGGTATGTATGATTACTGTAGAACGGTAATATTGTGTAAAGACAGGCAAAAATATACTGAATTGAAAAGAATCCAAGTGTCCATATGTTTGTGATGTGTCTCGAAATGGCGGTGGGTTGATGGCTCCAGAAAAGACCTATTAATAGATCTGTAAAGGTAAAGGATATAATTATTTTATCAGATTGGAAAGTTAAGAGCAGCAAATTATAGATAATAAAAGAACATCCTTACTATCCTGATCTAGAATAATGCTGGATTTAGCTAAGTTAAAGCCAGCAATATAATCCATTGGCTGACATCAGTTTCCCCCTAAAGCAGGCAAGCCCTGGTCCTAATAAGGACAAGCGCATGGATTATTCACGTGATTGGCATTCGAACTTCATTTTCATTTTATATTCTTCTTTATATCCAACCATTTGTGTTTATCCTAAAGAGATATTACCCAGAGGTGTCTCAAGTAAGTATTTTTGCTTTTTGCCTGTGTATAAAATATAGTAGGGAAGCGTGACATTTAATTGGGGCTGAACTCATGACTTAAACTAGGCAACGACAACCTCCCATTTTTTACCTTACCTACAGTTTTACATCTACCTATAGCGCCAAGTGATACATACAAAGGTTAAGTATCAAGGATATTCAAAGAACGGTGAGTCTTCTGAAAATGGCTTCTCGCACTGCCTCATCAGTCACTCTTTCGTTCCATGCCGACGAATACAAAGATGATGCACAAATCATCTCAGACAACGACGAACCCAACATCGTCTCCCTACCCGATGATTACACGCGCGCCGTAACGGAAGATTACCTCTCACCCTCCATGAAAGCAGCTTCAAACCCTGACCACAACATCCTAAAAGCTGTCCTATCGCATGGCTACTTCCTCAGCGAACAACGACGCTGCGACGAAGAAACCCGCGACCCGAAAATCCTAGACTTCTCATCAGAATTCAGCCACGGGGCCATCCGCTCAAGAGGTCGCAGCATCGTAGGCATAACAACACCGCTCATGGAAGCCATCCGCGCCCACCTCCCAGCAAATGTCAAGATCCTGCTCGAAGCCGGCGCGAATCCCAACGGTGTGCCGCATTGCATCATGGAGGATTACGCGGCGCTGTTCTTGCGCTTTAGGCCTAGCATCAATGGCCTTATCGACGGCAGTCCCGATGTAGCGCGTAGGTCTGTTTTCTTGGAAAACATGAACGTGCCGCAAATTTCTAACCTCACGTGCGAGGAGGTTGAAGACCGCCAGGGTGGTGCCATGGCGCCGTTTTGGTGCGAGGAGGGCTTTACGCAGGCTTGTTTCTGGACACATGGTGAGACGATGCCGTCACTTGTGCTGGCGGCGAAAAGTGGCGAGACTGAGATTGTGGACTTGTTGCTGCATGCTGGCGCTGATGCGATATTTTGGAAAAGTCCGCAGTTTTATGTACCGGAGACGGCGAGCGAGAGTTCGTTGAGTGTGAGTAGTCCGCTGCATGCTGCGATTGAAGCGGGTAATGTGGAGATGGTGGAATTTCTGCTAAAGAGGGGGTTTGAGCCTAATACGATGCCGTTGGCGAATCCGACTAGGTGTGTTACCCCTTTGATGGCGACAATTGTTCACTGCAGCAGTTTCAACAAGGAGGCCTTTGATATCCTATGCCGAGCGCCGAGTATCAATTTCGAGCTCCGGACGCCGGTGTATGGTGTTCATATCTTGCATTTCGCTGTTGCGAGGCTGGATTTCGAACTCCTGAAGCACGTTGCGGGTAAGACGCCGCTCGGAAATGCCGGCGAGACTGCCTTGGGCCATACGTTATTGCACGTTGCCTGCATGTGTGCTAATGTTGCACAAATTCAGAGACATTCGGGTATCATATATAAGAGCATTCACGAGACAAGAGATCTAAGGCCATTTAACGACACCAACCCTGAGTCTTTCAGTCATGATTGTGGGTATTTCTCTGCTCAGACGGAAATGGTAAAGTATCTGTGGAACAACGGTGTACGGGACTTTTCGAAGCGCGATGTTCATGGAAACACAGCTCTTCATTATCTCGCTGGCTGTCGCGCTCTCAACGAGGAGCTTTTTGCTTGGTTGCTCTCCGAGAGAGGGTCGGAAACGCTATGTGTGTGGCAGGAAGCTCAAAATATCCATGGCGCTACTCCTAAGATATTGGAGATGGCTAGTAAGGGGGTAAGGCTAGTCAATGGGGATGCTGCTAAGATAGACTTTGACCGGCATCGGTCTTAGGTAAGGCAAGGGCTCATAGAAAGGCGGAGACTTGGAGAGAGGTTCTTGAAATGTAAGTTCCGAAAGTATGTTTGTGGTTTGGTACTATATAGTTTCATTTGTCTTTGTTTGTAGGTACGTTTTCGTGGGTCTTAATTGCTTCTTGCTACGTTTTGAAATAAACATCGCCACTTTACTGGACTGACCTTGAGATACTTGCTCCAAGGTGAATATTGACTACCTACCTATGACCGAATTCATGTTCACGTGAAGGTTTGCTTGCTTGTGTAATAGTAGTGGGGCTACGAGGAGAGCAATCCATGCATGAGGTTTACACCAGGCTTTCTTCTACTTATTTAATGTGTATCTAAAATGGATGGATCACTAGGTTTAGAACATTATTTTTGTTCTTGTAAACTTCTGTCTATTCAATCATGATATGTGTGCATGTGATGTGTGGCTGCATCAAAACGCGCTTTCCCACCTTGTCTATTCCTGGTGCTTCCTTCCCTTGAGCGAGCGTTGTCGCCGCCGTTTGTTGTTTTACTTTAAGCTCTAGGTATCTTAACTACACCATATCTCCAAATCCGCGAAATAGAAGAACTCAACTTGCAAGGTATGTACAAGTGCTAGTCGAACATAGCAGAAGTCTTAGTTCAACTATACAGGCCTCCGGAGACTCCACACGGCAACGCCTTCGCGATGTCTCGACCAACAGCAGATGACCATCCAGCAACAAACGCTTCTGCAAATCCTCCACCAGCTCTCACACAGATGGCGAACTTGTCCCTCTCATCGGATTCAGCTCCAGACCAGCGAACGCTTCTCACCATCCCGCCCGAAATCCGTGACAATATAGTCATGGAAGTGCTTCTCAACCCGGCACGCCCCAATTTCGAAGCCGTCAACACCCCCACAGAGACTACGTTTAAGAACTACTTCTCCATAGGCTTTGTCAATAAGCAACTCTATGCCACAGCTAAGGATGTCGTCGCAATATCAAAGGGACTGGTGATTATCTCGATGAACTGGGATGGCTTGACGAAAGACATCGAGACTGCCGGTATCCCAATAGTGACCGACCACCATATCCGAACGGTCACATTCCATTCTATGAGAATCCATGTCAATTTTCCGACCCTCAGCAAAAAAGTTGTCAAGTCCATACTGGTTCTTGCCTCTGATCTCCCTGATATCAGCCGTGTCTTGCGCGCCTTGAGTCTTGATGCACTTCACCCACAAACTCATGCCCACGGCGAGTTCCCTAGAATTAGCATGCAGATTCAATTTAACGAAGAAGTCACAACGACCAAGCAAGACCAGATTCGGCTCCTCCGATCTCTCAAGTACGCAAATTCGATCGGTTCCATCAAAATCTTGAAGTCGGACGATCCCTCCTTACAAGTAATTCTCCCCGGCTATAAAGGCTTTCAATATGTGCCCGGCATGCAATTATCTGGTTACATAGATGACTGTGAGAAATGCCAATGGTTCCTAGCAATTCGCAAAATCGACGGAGATGACTACATATCCCTCTCCGACTGGAAGCTCGTCCACGCAGGCCGAGCCGTTGCAGCCAAGAACTACGAGTTAGCAATGCTACGATATACAGAGATCGTGACTTTTATCGGGCTCTGCCAATTGAAAAACCCAACCGTTCTATTACCAATCTTCGACTACGACACTCTATTGGATATCCGAAGCTTTCGAGCAGGTATCGGACTGGTTGAAAACTCGATTTTGCTGAAGAAATGGAAGGATGCTAGGCACCATATCGTTCATGTGTTGCAGGATATTGATCACCGCGAGTGGATCCCGAAGGAGGAGAAACGACATGCCGAGAACCTTCTGTTCAAGGTTGACGAGTACTATTGCCGCAAAAAGGTGGCCCGGAAGTCTGCAAAGACAGTTCAGGTTTCTGGGCCAACTAGACAGGGAGGTAGAACAGTAGTAGAAAGTGACGTGCTAGGACAACATGGAGGATACACCCCTTTCTCTTAGCAGGGTAGCGTAAAGGAGATATCTTGCACAAATTTGGCGTTGGCGGAGGGGAAAGGCGGAGGAGGCTTGGAATTGATTTTCGGGGGGGTGGGGGGTTCATGCTCTGGAACACTTGCTTAATTGGCTGCTAGTTGCTTTGAGGATGATGGGAATTGAAAGGGATACTTGAAATAGATGGCTGATTTTAGTCTTCAATATTACTTCACTTACTCACCAGTCATTTATCCTTTTGTCCCATACATGACATGTCATGTCTCGTGGTTACTGTACTTACTGTAAGCCTCATCGCTTAGTCATTACTCACTGCAAAGGTCATGTGACCTATATCCCGACAGTAGAGTAGTTTTGTTCTAGTGCGTACCATCGGCGAAATTCGAGCCAGGCTGCAGGAAACGGATATTTCCAAAAGTAGCATTTCGCCTCGATTGCCAGCGTGCGTAGGAAACGGTACAGCACACCTTCTCGACGACTTTGGCCGAGTAATCAAGTTGTCCCAAAGTGCTTGGCCGAGTAATCAAATTGTCCAAAGTGGGTTAGACCTCCGCAATCTGCACGGGACTGAGTTCACTCACATCTAAGTACATCTACAGTATACTGTACTGTACAGTAACCCCGCCCTACCGACACCGGCGTTCCGGGGAAAGGCGGGCGGGGCTCTGATTATGTTTTCCCTGCATGTTGGGGGCGTGGCATGGGGGAACACATGGCTGGGAAAGCATTCATGGGCCGCGGAAAGATGCTTAGAAATGAGAAAGGCGTATAGATCTATTCGCTCAAGAATAATACCCATCAATATGCACGGGGGCACAATGGGGTGATAGTAACGTCAGAAAGGTGAGAAACTTACGACTTTTTTAAATGATGCCGAGTTAGCTCCCACCTGGAATTCCTGGAGGAACATATATAGAGAAGGCTGAGGAACGCACGCAAAAGGAAAAGAAAGGGCGTGTCCACGCTTCGTGCTCGACTCTGCTACGGTATAATGAATGAATGAATGCTCTTTTGTCCCCGGGAAATCGAATCGACAGAATCGTGTTGCTTGTGAAGTGTCCGGGGGAGACAGACAGCCGGCGCGTTCAGTATGATTCGTCACAGCAGGCTGGAGATCGAAGCGCACAGTGAGTAGAAATCCTGCAGCCATTACTGGATGGTACAACGAGCATGCCAATAGCCCGTGATAAGAGGTATCTGGGTCGTGCAGCCCGAAAGAGAAACGTTTGCCGGCCATACCGTACCGTCTTTTTTATGAATTCCGGTGTTGAGAGGTCAGGGACGGAAAGGGATGAATTGAGATCCGCGAGTGAGTAAGTGGACAGGAAGGGAGAGGAGAGGAGAGGAGAGGAGAGGAGAGGAGAGGGTTGAGTGAGTGCACAGGGCAGAGAGGGTTCAAGTGAGAGACTGAGAGACTAAGGGACAGAGAGACTGAGAGACTAAGGGACAGAGAGACAGAGTGAGAAGATGAAGATGGACCATTAGTGACTGAGGCTGCATGCGCATTGTCTTGCCGATTCTGCGACGAGGGACGAGATGAATCTCCATGCGGCCGAGGACAACTTCAAACACAAGCCGCCATTATTTCATTTCTGGTCATCTCTATCTCCATCTCTATTTCCATTTTTCTATTCTCTTTATTCTCTTCACAAGCAAAAGATAGAATATCTGCATTATTAGGTGCAAAGTACCGACTCCTTGGTGCGCTACTTGCGGTGGTCCGTTGGCCGGATAGCTACAGCCATCAGCCCAGCCCAGCACCAGCTTTAGCTCGGCTGTCCGGGGTCCTTGTAAAACTTCGCTCGTCTCGCCGCTCAACATCAACAGCTTGACAAGGCCGAAGACAGATACGGCTTGCCTGGATCGACTCTTCCTGGCCCAGTTGCTGCCCCTCCGAGGTGCACTGCATTATTGGATACTGGAATTTGGAAATCCCTTCCATCCACAATCGACTTCTACACAGCACAGGCCTCCGTGATCGCCACACAGATGTGATCAACCATGACCTTTACCTTCATCCTCAATCAATCCCCCACCTGGTCGGCCCTCCAGCAATAATCTTTTGCCAATAGATACCTACTACCTACCCTCACAATCACGACATCGGTCGCCCAATGCCCGCAAAAGACGTGCTACTGATACGATTACTTCTCGATAAGAGCTTCACTGATTCCTGCAGTTGTCGCTCTAGGACTCGCTTTCGTTCTTCTGGCCGGTAGGGTAGCCGAGCAGCGGAAAATGATCTGGTACTTCTTGTATCCTTTTCGAGGGTATGTCTTCTGCTCTTTTAACATCTATCGAGTTTCTCTTGCTTCTCTGTTCAGCACTAGCCGTGACAAATCACTGATTCATCAGCAGAACAACAGCACCTCCGGTCCTCGATACCAAGCATCCCCTTCGAAATGTCTTCACCCGGTTCGGTACCAATGCTGCCCGACATCCGGTGTACACCCTTCTCGTCTCCGTCGCTGTCGCCGTGGCACTGATATACCCCTTCCCATTCCTCTATACGAATGACTTTGCCAATGGCGCCTCGAACCTGCCCCATCACGTATGGACCTCGGCCACACCATTGGAGACAAACACTGATATGCGCGTGGATGTGGTAATGCGATCAATATGGGTACACGGTACGTTAGCATGGTCATAAGCGTTGGCTTTATGCATCGCTGACCCTGCCATAGGCAGTTATATGAAGGCGCTAGAACCAAAGGTCTTGCAAAGTGCGCTTGAGATACAGGATGAAATACTTGGACCTACCTTGGACTTTGATCCTCGACAGCCACAAGGCGAAGTCGACCCTGATAATGTCGCTTCTACCGAATTCTCACCGACTATACGAGATAGTTTCCATGTTATAAACGGGTTGAGCAATTCGTCTTGGTTTTTCCATTCACCGTTACAATATTGGTCGTGTTCATCCGACAATATTTTACAGGATGAGGATATTATCAAGACGGTAAATCAGCACTCTCGGCAAGCAACGTCGGTCAATGTGACCCTCCGACACTCAATTGTCTTCAGTGGCAAGCGTTTCGAGGGGCACCGACTCGTTGCTGCCGATGCCCTGATCATCACCTTGATACATAAGCTCGACTCGCCTGTTGGTAGGCAATGGGAGCGAAAGGCAGAGGAGATCGCATCCAAGAGCTCGAACAAATGGCGCCTCATCCCCTCCGATGGACGGTCGCTACTAAGCACGCTATATGAGTTTCGATTTCAACCCCTCTCGTTTCAGGATGATCTCTTCCTTGCGCTTGCTTATTCTCTCACTACTCTCTACTTTGCTCTGAGCTTGTCAAAACTGCGAGCTCTCAAGTCTCGATTAGGCCTCATCCTTGCAGTCAGCACTCAAATATTTGTCTCCATCATGTCCAGCTTTACGGTCTGTGCCGTGCTCAAAATTGACTTGTCCAAGATTCCGAGGGAGGCGTATCCTCTCGTTGTTCTTGCGATCGGTCTAGAGAACATATTCAGGTACATCAATGCCGTTATCATGACACCACCAACGAGTTCTACATCGGCCAGAATGGGAGAAGCCTTGGGGGAGACAGGGCACGTTGCATTTGCCGCTTTTGGTCAAAACCTTGTAATACTGTGGCTGCTCTCCAAAGTGGTATCTTCTCAAATAGCAGCATTCTGCTCTTTTGCGGCAATTGCTATTACATTTGATTTCTTTTACCTCATGACGTTCTTCACCGCGGTACTGAGTATCGACGTACGCCGGACAGAGCTGGGGGACTCCCTAAAGAAAGCCCCTACTCGAAGCGTGCGCCACTATTCGCCAAACCAGCCAAGAACGACCTGGACAGATTCGGTGCTACGAGGAGAGGCGCCTATGTCGACCAGAATTGCTGGTACTGTTGTGATGATAAGCTTCATTCTCATCGCGCAGTGGCATTTTTTTGAAAACGCAAGCTTGGCCCAAACGACCCTTCGCCTTTTGCGATTTATCACTTCTCGGCCCCACGAATCTCCAGTCACTTCTCCCGCTTTACTCTCTGTTGGTATCAACCAGGCTAGGGCTCAGACGGCATGGCTGCGGATGCAGGATCACGAGACAGCCCACGAGATTATCAAGGTGATCAAACCACATGGCAAAAGCTACATCGCCCGCGTCTATGACCCCTTGATCTTCGTACTCGATGGGTCTGATAGAACGTCAACACAGCTTGGAGTCAGACCTTTCCTACCAGCGGCTTACGATTTTGTTAGACACCAATCTGGAGGATTCCTTACAGCTTTGGTATTTATTGTGGGTGCTGTGTCGCTCTTGATGAACTTCCTACTTTGGAACGAGTTCCCTGAAGGCGAAGAGGACGAAAGACGCGACGATGGACCATTATTATCAATTAAAACCTTACCCCGAGGCCATGTACTCGACGTTATCCTCTTGACCGCTTCGAACGAAGGCGTCATTGCATCTGTGGGTCTGGATAGATGGGTACGAATATGGGACACTCGCAAGGGCGCTTTCAACTACACTATCCAGGACCCCGGTTCTAATATTAACCCTTTCCCTGTTGTGGCTATAGCAATCGACAGCGACTCCAATTGGTTAGCTCTCCTGTCAGCACAGAACAAGGTCCTCTTATGGAACATCCCTGAACGAAGGTGGGGCCCTGTAATGGATGTAGATATTAAGGGGCGCAAACCAGCAGCATTCTTTTTTGGCTACCACGAGTCGGAGCTCATCAACCCCGTTGTGGTTGTCCGATCGAACGGTATGATGACCGAGCTGCATATGGAATCCAACAAGAGCAATATATTGCAGGTCTGCCGCAGTCCGCTAGTCTGTGTTCGACCGCATTTTGAAAAGCCGACACCTCAATGTGCTCACCCACCTCCACGTATAGTCACTTCTTCCAAGCGTGGCTGTGTTCACGTGGGCTCGCTGCTGGACCAGGGCTGGATTTCCGAAGGCATTGAGATTCCGGACCCCGAAGGCGATACAGAAATTCTGTCCATATTACCATTACCGGCCCTTAGTTCTTTCCTGACGGTACGCAGCCATACGATTGAGCTCATCGACATCTTCACGCACAAGGTAACACATACGTTCGCGACGCAGCCCATGAAGCACGACTCTCTACGCTGTTTTCACTCCACTCGCAGGAGGCCACAATGTGGATCCGTTGGGCTCGCTTATCTCGCACTTGCTTACACCACTGCTGATACGGGGTCCCTCATACTCCAGTCCTACCTTCCAGAACGCGAAGGCGATACAATCTGCTTCCGTGACCCCTGGACACCGGGAAGCAAAACATGCTGCCTGTGGCGAGAGACAGTTGAGAATCGTTATGTAGTGGAGAACCCTGGAGAGTGGGAAGCACTGCCGGTGGGCTACATCGTGGGAGTCCGGAAGCGGGTGAAAGAACAACCCAAGGAAGCTATCGGCCATCACACGCAATCCATGGGTGGTCTCCGTCGCCGCGGCGTGAATCTTAAACAATCATTTTCGACGGATGCAAGGCAACCCGAGAAAGAGGAGGATGATTCTTGGGAGGTATGGAGTTTGAATTCGAGAGGTGACAGGTCAAATATCCCTCTTTGCGATGAGCAGGAAGGCGGAGATTACCTTCTTGTTAGTAGACTAGGCCCTATAGTGAAAGTTGGCAAGAGGAGCCTTGCTGTCGCACTGGGTAATGTCATTAAGTTGATCACGGTGGGAAGTGATAGGTTTGATGACCAGGAAGCGGGCAATAATGATACCTCATTTGTGGGCATGGCTGCTAGCAGCAGGAAAAAGAAGCCTACAGTTCGTTCAGAAAGAAGACCGACAATTAGTGGGACGGGTGGAAGCATATGAACAACCTCCGAGTCCCGGGACGGGTGATGGTTTTGCGCTCGCATTGATTGGTTTACGGTAGTGATTGAGGCATAGGAGCTTCATGGGAATATACCCCAAGTCCTAGCAAATTCTAGGCTGGCGTTGGCGGCTCGGCTTGCATTGGATTGGATAGATCAAGTTTTATTATAAAAATGATCTCGGCGTCTGGAGATAGATGGAGTTGAATATTTTGTGTATGTTCCTTTGGCGTCAAGTAACGCTATGATATGGTACATACTACGTTGGATGGAATGGAAAATCAGGTAGAAGGAAAGGAAATCAGTACTGCTGAGGCCCATGGCACGCCATGCAGCTAGCCGGTGCGATGGATCGGGAGTGACGCTACGATTCAAGGAATACAAAGTCATTACAACCCTTGCCTTGCTGCTACCCGAACATTCTTCATTCCCCACAAAGATGCCGAGTGGCCGAGTGAGCGACAACAGTAGTATACTCTTTCGAGAAACCTTCTATCTGTTCCTATTCCTCTAGTAGCGTTCCCGAAACGCAGGCACCCCTTGGATGTAATCGGTCCCCTGCATATACCCCGCATTCCTCCCTTTCTTTGCAACTGCAAGTGATGTTTTCCTCGTATAATCAATCGTATTTGGTATATGTACTTGGTGTCTGAAAAGTGAGATTGAGAGATTCAGGGCCGGTTGTTATGATTGATCGGATATTCTGTGGGAACTATGAGGGCGGAAAGATGGATGGATGGATGGAAGGAAGTGTAAGTGAAGGAGCGTATTGTAACGTTTCGTAGGTGATGGATGGATGGGATGTTTGTTTGAGTGGAAGGGAAGGTAGGTATGGATAGTATAGTACTGAATAAGTGTTTGACAGGTATGCCCTCTCTCAATTCCTTAAGCTGAACCAAACCAAGCAGCTTTGATACTTTGTAGTATGTACTAGCTAACAAATACGAGACTGAAACGTCTTTCAAGTTACATTACATTGTACAGCAAACATCCACCTGTTCTCCAACTCGTAATAGATTTCTTCTGACCTGACTTGTCTTGAGTTGTTGAAAAAATTTCCTCGCTGCCCTGTCGGCACCCGGACGTGCGTTCGGGGCGTTGCAAAGGTTAGAGGGGGTACAAGGACAAACGGTGTTGTGTTGTGTGGTGTGGTGTGATGGTTACGAGGATTGATTTCTGGGTTTATATATGTTGGATGAAACCATCTCTTCACCAGCATCAATCAATCCGTTGATTCATATCTCAATTACCAATCATCCATTCATTACCGCCCCGCCTCAACCATAATCAATCCCAACTTATATGATAGCTTCCAAACACACGCGTACTGGCTCAGATCAGCTCAACCTCATCACTTAGAAGAAAATGAAGTTTAATTTCAATTTCTCCCTCCTCGCTCTCCTCCCGGCTACCGCTCTGGCGACGGCCATTGCAACTCCCCGCACAACCCCCTTCTCCATCACGGTCAGGAACCTCACGCGCACGTTCCCGGACGAGCATACGGGTGTTTACCAGTTCGTTATCGATTACCAGTTTGGGCTGCAGCTGTGTACGGTTACGGATCGGACGGTGGGGACGCCGGCGGCGGTTCATTCTTGGTATGGGGCTTTTTGCGAGGAGGTGAGTTTACCTTGAGAGAGAAGAAGGAGAGAAGGAGAGAGAGATAGATTGAGATGGCAATATGCTTTTGGAAGATAGGAATACAAGCTAACTGGTACGCGGCTATAGAACCATACGTGGGAAGTCTCATGGGGTTGGGATTTCCAGGGCGATTTCACGGTCATGACGATCGTGGACGAGCCGAATCAGTACGAGGCGTTCTTTGGCTATAAGAGCCCGAATGGGGCGACGAGTTTTAAGGACCAGGGCCCGAATCCTGTGCAGCATACTTGAGTGATGAAGAGAGGGTGAGATGAGATGGAAAAGGGGTTAGAAGGACGAGTAGGGTGGGTGGGCAGAGGGGTTGTGAAGAGGACCGGGGAGGTTGGTAGGTGTTTTGATGGAAAATTAAACATTTGATGTGTTTTTATAATAAAGATTTTGTCTATTAGGTGGTTCCGAGTACCTACTCCCCGGGAAGGTCTTGCAAATATCTATCTATACGTTGTAGTACCGATATGCCACCACTCCACGTGACTGACTGACCGACCGCTAGTGCTGTAGCTAGCGCCGTATGGGTCTATGAGACCCTTCCTGTATCCTAGAACTTAGCTATTTGATAGTTTCAAGACACAGTGCCGAATCTACAACACTTTACAGCTTTTCTTAAGGCCATGAAATACTCTTTGTGAACCGGTCACATGATTCACTAGCTTCAGGGGTTTCATCTCGCGAGGGCTGTTATCAAGGATATCGGCCAACGCCGCTCACCGCCGGAAGAAAGGTATGAATATCAGTCGATAGTGTTCCTATTCTGATCAGATGAGTCTTGTTACCTTATCAATCATCCCCAAAGCCAATTACCTCCTAGCTACAATTTCACGCTACAATTTCACTCACCGTATCATTCTGTACGGGGCTCTCACGTAAGCTAGGTCTACTTACAAACTTCATACCTATTTCCTCCCGTTATTCATTCCCTTTTCTCTATTCTGCAAACTCCGTGTGAAGTCAAAATGCGTAGCATACAAACTGATCAGCAGCCCATGTTGCCGGTGCCACACGCCACAACTCCCTTTTGGCGTACAGACCTTGACGAGCTAGACGGCCACCGCTCAACGGCAGATCTGCCGGCGGAATGCGATATATTGATCATCGGCAGCGGGTATGCTGGTATTGCGGCCTCGTATCACCTTCTTGTCGGTGAAGAGTCCAAGGCGTTCGCGGGGAAAAAGGTCGTGTTACTAGAGGCGCGTCAAGCGTGCTCTGGTGCTACGGGTAGAAATGGTCTGTTGAACACTGTACCTTTTACAACGGAACTAACTTATCCTTTAGGTGGTCATGTCCGTCCTTCGGTTTACTCTCGTCTTCCGCGTTACATTGAGGAATATGGACTTGAAGCAGCTGAGCAATTTGCTCAATTTGAGCTCGATCACGTGAATGCTTTTGCGGATTTGGTGAAGAGAGAGGGCATTGAGTGTGACTTTGAATTTACGAGGTCATTTGATATCTACACGGATCCAGAGCAAGCTGCTGTAGCCAAGGCTAATTACCTCAAGCTCAAGGAGGCTGGTGTAGCAAAGTCCACCATAGATGACCTCGAGTGGACAGATGCAGACCGTGCTGAAGAAGTGTATCTCTCCCCTCAAATCATGTGCTCAGCTAATAAAGTCTAGGTATCAGGAGTAAGAGGCTGCGTAGGCTGCTTTACATTCACGGCCGCCTCCGTCTGGCCCTATAAACTCTTCCTCTCCCTCCTTAAGCTCACCATCCAGAAAGGTCTAAACCTGCAAACCCACACCCCTGTCACATCTATATGCCCAACCGCTTCTCCCTCCGGATTATGGACAGCAGGTACTCCTAGAGGTCCCATATCTGCAAAACAAATCATCTTCGCAACAAATGGATACACTGCCTTCCTACTCCCTGAATATGCCGGCAAAATCGTTCCATGTCGCGGAATATGCAGTCGCATTACCTGTCCACCATCTTCGCACCCCCCAAAAATAGATAAAACATACGGTCTGCGCCTCCCCAAAGGATCGTACGATTACCTCATCCCCAGGAAAGACGGTAGTATTGTAGTAGGCGGCGCGCGCAGCGCATTCTTCTCTGATCCCTCGGAATGGTACAACACCGTTGACGACTCTACGCTCATCGGTTCCGCAGCACATTACTTTGACAACTACATGCAAGAGCACTTTATAGGTTGGGAGGATAGCGGTGCGAAGGTGGAGCAGATTTGGACGGGGATTATGGGCTATAATGCTGATGGGTTGCCGAGTGTGGGGGAGGTACCTGGACGGGAGGGATGTTTTGTGCGGCGGGGTTTGAGGGGCATGGGATGCCGGTTATTTGGCTTACGATGAAGGGGGTTGTGGGGGATGTTGGGAGGAGAGGCGTTTGAGGAGACGGATGTGCCAGGGATGTTTAAAACGACGAGGGAGAGATTGGAGAGTGAGAGGGATGATTTGAGGGGGAAATAAATGGGGGGTATAAACTGAAGTGGGCTCTTTCGTTTGGGGAGATGGGAAGAGGCGGTCTCCAAAATAATGTCTTTAAAGCGAGTGGCAACACGACTTGTGCTTAGTATATAGATCTCGTATATATGAGGGGCGCTCTTTCTGCTTTTCAGATGGGTTGTTTCTGGAGAAGGTGCAAGTGGCACTGAAATTTCCTTTCAGACTTTTGGATAAGTCTGCCGAGAAACAAAATCTGATTATAAAGCGCCTAGTTTTCATACTTTTGCTTCTCTCGCGTTACTTTACACGCTCGTGATGAGATAAGTGTTGAATAGTGCAGAATTGGGCCGAGTCTCGTGACTTTATCTCACTTTCACTTCTTGTTGTTTGATATAAATAGCCCTTGCAAACATCTCCATATTTTAGTCTTCTATCAGCTTGTATATTGTGAGGAACTATACGTCCATAAGGTACTATTACAGAAAAGCATGAAAGCACGTGCGAGTTAAGAGGCTTTCGCCATGAATTTAAGGCATCAAGTTTGTCATCCCCTGCGCTAAACATGGTGAACCAACTTCGCCCACCACAGCTCTTTACATCAACCTTGTCTACCACATCCCCGTTGTCTTCTTCCGTTTCTATCGTTTCGGTGAGGATATATCATTCATGTACCCTTAGGAATTAGCCATCTTCAATGCATACAGCTGTCGCAAGGAATTGAGTGGGCTTACAGGGAGCGCACGTGAAGCTGGCAGCCCCCGACGTCAATACTGCGATTTATGCACCGTAATCTCTTGCAGTGTCAGCCAGTCGCTCAGATGAGAAGCTCATGCGGTGTGTACCTGGGTCTGTAGGCTGCGGCTTGGGCTTAGGCTTAGGCTTAGGCTTGAAGCCGTCTTGCCTTTTGTTTTGTATTCTGTTCATCTGGAGTGTCATTGTTTCGGTCGATAACGAGGCTTTGCTGGTGGGTTTGGCGCTTTTATATGTATCCACTGAATCATAATGTTCCCTCATTTGCGTTTCATTGTTATTATTCTTGCTGTATTTGCGCGAGCTTTCATGAGTAAATGAAGACGACGGATTCTTGATACCCCCTCCGCACTAACATGCACCACAAAGCCGTTACTATTGAGAAATGGGATGAAGTTATTGTGTATTTCATGTTGAGGGGAGTCTGTCGGCTAGTTGGTAAGTATATTATGCACAACGCAAATCATTGTCGCAATTGCTCTACCCATTCAAGCATTTGCTTTCTGAGGCTCCGCTCCGTCTGCCCCGTGGGGTGCCTGATGCTTGATTATTGCGCAGCCGAAGTATGTGGTAGCGCCATTGGATCGCCACTACATGCGATTTCATCGAACGCATTTGCGAACTGGAGTCAATCTTCTAAAATGCAAATGCTTCGACACATCTGGTTGGATATAAGCCTTTTATTGAATCATGTTCTCTAGGAGCTACCCTGTATGCGCTGTCAGCCTGGACTGTTTTCGATCAAAAGGCCGCCATCACCACAATGTTTAATAAAATGATTCTGTCGCATGCACTGGGTGTGTCTACTATATATTCCAACTCATTTTCGTTGTGGTGACTCGTCACCTGAGTTTCAAACAATGGACCATCACAGCTATCAACAATCCGCCGAGTTACGTGCAGCAAAAATATATGGAGGCTCCCATTTCCCAACGTTGACTGGGCTTGATCACAGCCCACGCAAAAGTTTATCCCACCTTCAACGTGAATATGAGGATGATGGTAGTCAAACTCCTTCTTTGACCGATGGTTCATCCAGGACGTCCTCCGAATACTCAACACCCGAGCATACTTTAGCCACTAGCAGAAGAAACAATTCTACACAATCGCAGCTTTCCCGTGGTGTTTTCGATACTGAGGATCCCTGGTGTCCATTCGAGATCCTGGATGAAAACAGCTACCAACGCCGACAAACGCAGAGCCCACAACAATTATGGAGATCGGCAGCTTCTAAGTAAGAATGTCTCAAACAATATGGTGTACTTTGAGTCTGACTGTACACCCTAAAAATTAGGCCTCTGGAAGACTCAACTCTACCCTCTTTAAGTTCAACTAAATACATTGATGTTAATTTTAATGGCTGTGGCAATCACCTCCCTCTCACAACCATATCCATAGGCGCTGACATCGGCCACTTCAACCAACAGCCGCATCCGATTAAAGCATTACCAGTTCGGACTGCATCTGCAAGATATACCCCAGTCGCGAAGAAAACCTCGGGGTTTCAATATACGAGAAAGCAACCAGATTCGCTAGGATCTGATTCCGACTCAACTGAAAGTGACTGCGAGTCCGAAGAAGATAGTGCTAATGAGACTGACTGTGGTGATGATGAATGGAGTGGAGTTAATGACTATTTTGAGAGCGCAATACTACAGGCAGTCTATCCTGATCTCGAGCTTGCCTCACATTTAATTACCCAGTTATACAGTATGTTCTATCCTGGCGCATCAAAAACCATTTCCAAGAAAGTTAGCTCGTGGAGAGAGAATATTAGGACTTGTAACACAGGTTCGGGGGGAAGTGGTACTACCGAGAAAGCTCCCGTTTCATCTTCAAGTACCATACAGAGCACTTCTAAACCGGGCAGCTCAAAGCGAGACAGGCTTTCTGGCTCGCCTGACAGCACTAATGGCGAGGATGGTGAGGAAGATGATGACGATGCAGATGAAAACAGACGCAAGAGATTCAAGGAGAACAATTTGGACGTCAGAACTGTTATCCCAGCCCAAAAGTTCGCATGTCCATTCCACAAATTTGCGCCTTCGAGATACTGCGTGCAGTACAACCCGGAAGGCGAAGTCAATGATAAACAGTATCGTACTTGCATAGGCCCTGGGTTTAAGACTATCCAACTTTTGAAGTAAAATCTGCGCTTTCATCTCTTCTTATTATATGATCTGCGCTGACTATGACAGAGAGCATTTGAAGCGAAAGCATTATCCAGTTCAATGCGACCGCTGCTACAGGACATTCACGTACAAGGGAAGCAATCGATCTTCAGCAGTATCGGAGCTTGAACGCCATCGCCAACTTGATGTGCCCTGTTCACGCAATACAGACTTGATGAAGGAGGGCATTAGTGATGCTCAGTGGACAAGTCTCGAGGAAAAGAAACAAGCTCGCAAACGTAAAGGCGTGCCTGAGGAGAAGCCCAAGAGTGAGGGGGACAAATGGAAAGACATTTGGAGAGTTTTGTTCCCCAATGTCGATGTCCCTCCAACTCCATGTGAGCTTTATTATCCACTCTTTTGAAACCCCGAAGCTAATTTGATACAGGGTATGATTCCCTAGAAATGTCCCCAGCTGTTCGTTCTAAAGGGCTTCGCACCTTTCTAGAAGTCTATGAAAGAATTGTAGAAGTCAAATTGGAGAACATACGAAGCGCAAAATCTGACCAGGAGCTGAAATCAACACTTTTGGCTTTGGCTCAAAATGGATTCCAAGTGTGGAGCCTGGCTGGCACTTGTAGCGACCTATCCACTTCGTCTAAATCTTACTCTAGTGGTAGTGCTCCAAGCTTCAAGTCGTGTGCTACTCCTACTGGCCAATCCCTTCCCCAAAACCATCCAACACTTCGGCGTTTCCAAGCCTAGAGCAGTCCAATGCCCAAACTGCTTCCAGCGCCACGAACAATGTTCCCACAGACCACGCGCAAACGCTTGTCAACCCACAGAACACCACTCATGGTATTCCATTTACTCCTAGCAACGTCTCTCCAAGCCCTCACCATGCAATGCCTCTCACGGGTGACTTCAACCTAGCCGCACCACTCGACGCTGGACATCAGACATTCCACCAAAATGCATACCCTTCCAACCTGCCAGAAAACAGAGCATGGGAGAATCAGATGCCGCAAATGCAGTTCAGCCAACCCGAATTCAACAACAGCATCACTGCAGATTATGACGATCTCAGCTTAGGCCACGGCCTTTATGGCGGTGATTACGATATGGGGAATGCCACATGGTGGGATGCCGAATATAAGCCTTCAGCTGTGGGATGATCCCTATCCTCTTCGAGGCTTTGCGCCGTATGTTGGTATGCCTTAGGTCTATTTGCCCAATCCCAATTGAGGCGATAAAACGATAAAATGATAAAACCTCCGGGTAGCATTCGCATTGTTGGCGCATTTCTATCCAGCTTGTCATACCGTCCAGATTGCTAAACGGAAAACTGGAATTTCTTCGGGGGTTGTTAAGAATTTCCTTCATTATGATCACGACTAGTTTAATTCTGGTCTTAGCTTCTTATTCTCATTTCTCATATGAGATTGATGGAAAACCTCTATTGGGGTTCTACACACGTGAAGTTTCTGCTCTTTTGAAATCGTTTTTATCTATTTTAAAATTGAAAGAACCTTCACCTTACCTCATCTCTACCCTCCCTAATCTGACAACAGCCTACTAGCTGCTTAGAGAAATTGCCATGAAATGTAGTATATACGTGTTTTTTATAACTAAATCACATCTCTCCAGTCCTCAAAATTCAAGATTCTGGACACCATTTCTGAGTCCAAATTCCACGGAATACAGCCTATAAAGAAACACTTCTCAGCGTGCTGAATGATAAGCGCCCAGCTGGGATACACTATTACTTGTCTGATAACACTATTCTATAACAATCTAGGATTTGTGGAGGGATTCCAGAAATGCGCCAACCAAAAAGCCATCTAGTATTTAACACCAAACACTATACCCCCCATATGTCTCAACTACCCCTCGTATTGTGCAATTTCTCCCTCTGTGAGTCGACTGACTTACTCCAACTTCCCCACAGGAGGCTCAACCGTCTTGACAACCTTCGCCGGACTGCCAATCGCAACCGAATAATCCGGCACGCTCTTCGTCACCACACTTCCTGCCCCAATTGTACACCCCTTCCCAATCACGACCCCCAGCAGAATCACAACATTCCCGCCAATCCAACAATCATCACCAATCGTAACCTCGCGCGCAAACTCAATGTTGTCCTGTCGAGACTGCACTTCTGTCTCGTGCGTCGCGGCATAGATGCTGACAAAGGGCCCGAACATGACTCGGTCGCCGATAGTGACGAGTCCGCAGTCGAGAATCACCATGCTGATGAAAAAGTAAGAAAAAGAGTCAGTACCGAGATAGACATAAGACGGAAGACAGGGCAGTGAGGGAAGTACTTGGTATTGGCGTAGAAACGATCACCGAGAGAGATGTTGCATCCGTAGTCCATGAAAAACGGCGGTTCAATCCAAGGAGATTTTCCAACCCTCCCACACAACTGCCTGAGCATCTTTTCGCGCTCTTCACCCAGCGAGTCTGGCGTAGAATCATCAGGTAAATAATCACAATATCTCTTGGTGAGTTTTCGGGCGCGTAGACGGCCTCCTTCAAGTTCTGGAGCAAGAGAGTTGTAGCTGGATTTGGATGTTAGGAAATTGGGCTTTTATGGTTGAGGTAGGGATATCCTGTACTGTACTCACAGCATGCCGGATATCATACGTTCGTAGTCCTCACACCACGGGGTGTTCTCGTATGTCTTGGCAAGGGCGACGAGTTCTGGATTCTTCTCGATACTAGGTTGCGACCCCGAAGCCTTGGGAAGGTCACGGGGAGGTTGAGCTGCCATGTTGAAGAGTGGCGGTGAGGTGAATAAAGGAGAGTTTGATGGTTTTGCCTTTCATCGAGGGGAAGTGTTGTAAAAGAATTCAATTCTAGAATCAAAAGAGAGCAAATAGGAATGTTATGTTTTTGTTCGGCAGGAGGTTGTCGTGAGATATATAATATAGTGGGGTGGCCGAAAGGGGAAAGTGGGGGATCCCGGGCCATGCCTGCTTTTAGGGGGGAAACTGACCCAGCCAATGGATTATAACTTGAGTAGGTAAATCGAGCATTATTCTAAATCAAGATAGTAAGCATATTCTTTTGCTATCTATAACTTGCTACTTGTAACAATATAATTTGATAAGGTAATTCTATCCTTTACTTCCATAGATATAGTAATAGGTATATTTACTCCACCTCGCAATCAAAAAGCACCCTCACCAAATGACTCTTTACTGCTTCTAGATCCTACTTGACCAGTCTACGCATCTTTATATCATCTACCTTCTATTATATGAAAGGCTCTATTGTATTCCTTATACTCTTACTTAGAAGATGCACTCTTATCTTCTAACGCTTGGTTTTCTTAGTGCTCTCTTCTCTCATTCCGCCTGGTCTGACTCCTCCAAACCATACTAGCATAGCTTCATATGCAAATCATGCATGAACAAATTCACTGACAACCTCTCCTTCGCTGTCAAAACTAGACTTCATGCAGTCACTTTAAGCCGAAGCTTACTTCGAAAGCATACAGAACCCATCCACATCTACCCCATGACTTGGCTCCCAGACTTCTGAATTTAATGACCTTCCTTACACCAGACACCCGTGATCTTACAAGAATGATCTGATATTGTGGTCGAGATAATGGCCCTTCCTGTTAACGTTAAACTCAGGTAAAATTGGCCTTTTATAGTACATAAGATGAAGGCCAATATCCTGCTTATACATTCACAAGCCTAAGTTTTCAAGCTTTCTACTGCTGAAAATTATCATAAAGGCATTAACTTCTGCGTATGCAGACAAGACATTCGCGGAGAACTTTGGTTACGAAGTCATGAACAAGAGAACAGCAAAATACAATCGAAATGGCTCCTCCTCATGCCTCCCTTCACCCCTCCCTTCACCCCTCGAAGAATTTTACATCACACCCAAGTTCTCGCTCTCGCTCTCGCTCTAGAGACTCAAGAAGACCAGAAAGGGACTCGAGGAGGCCAGAACCGTTTAAATATGTAGAAAGTGATGATACATCAGATCTAGGAAGCTCAGAGTGTTTTTTCTCTATGTAATCCAATCCTTTTCATCAAATTCGATTTTCGGTCGACGGTTTTCTTGCTGTCAAGAAAGAAAAGAGAGCGTTCAGTTGATTCGGAGCATTTGTCTTTTAAAGTTGAAACTTTCAACTTGGAAGTGGTGAATTAAAGATGAAGTTGAAGTTGAAGTCGATATGTAGGATGGGTTTTGCTTGAAGGAATTAGCTGGCACATGTCGCAGAAAGGCTGACAATAGCTTTTTGGAAGACGGATCATGATCAATGCACAATAGCGAAGTCTTATAGCTTGCAACCTAAGTTCCTAGCATTAGAAATCCGTGAGTGAAAGCAAAATCTATCAGGAGCTAATTCAAGCGGAATCTATTTCAAGGTCTATGCTAGTATAAATACCAATCGAATAGGGGAAGGTCTCACGAGCCAAGCAAGTCAGAGAATCAGAGTAGAAGCGACGACATGGTCTCTGAAGCTTCTATTAGTTAGCGACGCCTATGGAAACAAATAATGCTAAAAGAACAGCCCTGATTTTATAGCATCGATTTCGAGGCTACCGGTACACAGAGTAGTGGCTTTGTCTAAATCTGCTGTTAAAAGCGACTTGCTGTCAATTCAAATCATCCGTTCAGTCAGCTTCGCAAGGGTGCTTAAATAGTATAGGCTAGGTAGGAAATCCCCCCCTGACATGGCTCGTGGAAACCAGGCCATTCATTCATCAGTCAAGCTCGAATTCATATGATTGGCTGCCACGTTTACTGATTGAGGATAAATGTAGTTTCTTTTCCACTCATACATATCCAGATATCTATATCAATTCATAACCTCATCAAGAGGTCTTTCATCCCATCCTAGTCATCCAGTGTCCCATCCCATCCCATCCGTACCCGCCCGTTTCCGAAACACCAACAAATGCAAAACTCCTTATCAAAACAACTCACGACCTTTTCTGACCCATCTCAACATCCCCCTCATACTCATCCCCAATCATCCCCAGTCCCCGCCAAACCCCCCAAGTTTCCTCCCTACATAAATCCCAGCCGCCGTCACAAGACTAGCCAACAAAAACCAGCCATCAAACCATCTTTCCACAAACCCCGGTTCCAACGGACTTCCCAACGCTTCACTAACCACACTCTTCATTTCCGTGGGTAGATTACTCCTAAGTAACAACGCGCTGGAAATTACATACGTCGCGCTAATCTGCGCAATAATGAGCGCGAGGTTCGCTTGTGCTTGGTATAGTAGTGAAGGAGAGAGTTTGGTGATCATGTGGAAAGTCTGAAGCACGCTGTTGAAAGACGCGAGAAGTATGATTCCGGAAAGTAGGAAGGAGATTTGGCGGCTCCATGCTAATTGATCGAGTGTTGGATCGACGTGTTTTGCGAACATGGACAAGATGCGATTTATAGGATCTGTTGTGGAAGATGTAAAGGCTTTGGAATCCGGGGATGGGAACAGAATGTGTCGGAGGGTGGTTAGGGATGTGGTGATGATGCGGTAGATGCAGTAGAGGGAGAAGGCGTAGGAGGCGGGGACGAAGAGGAGTTTTCCAGATGGAGAGGCGGCTCGTTGGGTGGATACGAGGCGAGATTGGAGGAGGGAAAGGGAGGTGGAGAGGCTTACGGCCATGGAGGAGAGGCCTGATATTTCGAGCTCCAGGGCTTTGAGTTCTTGGGTATCGGCTGTTCCGCGGATTGTGCCGATTACTTTGGTCATGAAGCCTTCTGTTGGCGTATCCTTGACTTTACGCTGAAGGGCACGTAGACGACTTCTCTTAGCTGCCAACATATCGTTTGTAGCATTCAGTCCTGCCTGCTTTCGAGAGACATCTGCCTCTGTGACCGGCCGAGGCTTTGCTCCGAATGTCTGCCATGGGTTCGATACCGCTGCGAAGCCCGACAGTAGAGCCATCAATGATATACCAATGATCCCAACTCTTTCCAGACATGCCTCACTCAATCCCTTTCCAGGCTGTGAAGCCATTGTATGTATATAAGTCCCCGGGATACCTTTCCCAAGCCACCAAAACCCCGTGAGCCACCCGGCAAACAACAGAAATTGTAGCAGCCATGCCGTCCTAGGTATCTTTCCATTCTCCGTCTTTTGAAAGCTCCACCCGGATCCAGACACAATAGACTGTAGTTCGAGAAAAGGTATGAGTACAACCAGCAAAAGCAGCAGCGTTGGAACAACTGCCTTGAGCGCGAATGCCCTTGCCACAGGATTCAGCGTATTCGAGATCTCGCACAGTATCAATTCCGTCAGCACAGCAGCAAGCGCTATAGTCACCGAGAACGCAATAGCGATGACCCTCCTCCTCGCCGTCTTCTTGTCATGCTCGGCATGCTTCTGTCGCAAGCCGGAAGGCGCATCGCTGGGTAGGTAATGGTCGTTGTCGTCTTTGGCTTGCTGGAGTCCAGCTACGGCAGGGAAAAGCTTATGAAGGACAGCGAAGCTGACGACGAGGAAAGTGAGGATGAAGGGGGTGGAGGAAATGACGATTGTGGAGAGGGATGTAGAGCTCAGAGCGCGGTTTTGGCTATGGTGGCCTGGCATGCTGCAGGCGTCTTCTTCGCATTTGTCGGTGGGAAGCATGTTAGTGTTGGTGCCGGAGCAGATTCTATGGCTCGCGATCGCATTGCACTCTCTATAAGGCGAAGATGTTAACAATCTGTACGGATGAAGGCGGGTAGGGTGGCTTGGTGTGGGGATTGAAACCTGGTCGTTCCTGAACTTCGTCACTTTTGATAAGCTGCTTATCATATGGTCCCACTATTCAAGGGGTGTTGCATATTTTAGGGGCAAACATTGAAACAAAGCATTAATTATCCCAAGGCGTAGTAAAGTAGACTTTTTCTTTGTTCATATAAGTTGCTGCTATCCACAGGCTTTTGCATGTCCCAATTCCCATAGCTCTGTAGGATCTACAATATGTCTTTGTCCTGTACAACTCCAGAAAACAAACCAGCCGGATACAGCCAAGTGCAAATTTGTGGGGTATAGGTATTAACAAAGTAGACCCGGGGTATCTGCATATAACTCCCCACAATCTGTGTCCGGTAATACATGTACGCTAGCTAACGCCAAATATAGCATCCTTGACGGTCAAAAACAGCCACCGTAAAATAACAAAGGCGCCAGGATGACACGCTAGAGACCATAGTCAAATCAAGCAAAGAGCCATGGAGCCAAACACTCCCCATGAGGTAGTTCAAGCATAAACGCTAGTGGCAGTAATTGTGGTTGGGAATGAGAGAACGCTGGTATCGTGCTCGCCATCCTCATCGTCGTCGTCCATGTTCAGAAGTTGAAACCGGTTCATCACTGGTGCGTCTTTCTTCCTAGGAGCGGCTGTCTCTTGGCGGAATTGCTGAGGCCTCTCGAGGGGTGCAGCACATTCGTCGCTGTCCCACTCAATCTTGGAGCCCTTGTAGGTACTATTTATTGTCAGAATTATTGTCAAAATCTCGAAACACAGCACTTACGACCGACTCATCATGCATGTTCGAGCGAACATGGCATTGTGGACTGAGTTTGTGGAGATATAAACATTATTGTCGCTGAAAGCTACCTTGACGACAACGAGATTATGGATATGCTCGAGGTCGTCCCGAATTGCTTCCTCGGTGTGTCTTGCAGTGCGGTTTTGGATGACGAGGTTTCTCGTTGCACCAATAGCAATCTTGTTAGCAACATGACCCGGCAGGATAAATTGACGGTCGTTCCACCGAATCTCAACCTACAACGCATGAGCAAACGGCCATTTAGTAAATGCAAAAGCACATACCCTCTTGCCTCGAATATACAAGTCATGACGCTTCACATGTCGGAAAAAGTCAGAGGCCTGAGCCTCCTCCAAGAAAGAAACACTTGCTGTACGATCATGGATCCGGAGATAGATGTCTAACAGCATGCCTCCTCTTACCGCATCTACGATATCTTGGTGGGTAGTCGATTCAGCCAGGTTAGCAAGCTGCACAGTTCGCTTGGCGGACTTTTTGAATTGTTGACGTTGGGATTTTGGCTGTGATTCATTGTTGCCAATTCCTCCATCATAAAAGCAGTCTGGACCATCCGGCATATATGGAATATCATCATTTGTCTGCGAATGGCTATGGAACCCGTTGCCGTTGGTATTTCGGGGGGTATAATTCGCATTCCGTCCAAAGGTGTAGTCTTGTCCCCCATTCCCTTGTGCGCTCGAGAGGGGTTGTTGGCTTAAGAAGGCCGCACTCTCTTCGTCATGTGTTGTCGATTCATCATTTTGGGTCGCGACCGAATCATCCCGAATCAGAATCTAACGTAAAGATTAGCATTGAGAAATACAAAGCAGCTAGAAAGAGAGAAAAGGATCAAACTGACATCAAGAGTTTCCTCGGCGATACCACCTCTGTAGAGGTTGCGTTTGAGGTTGGCTGTGAATCAAATTAACCAACGTTTGTGGCTAGGTCTGCAACGCAGGCATGTATATACCATATTGACGGGAAATTGCCAACTAAAAATACTGTCAGCGAAATTCATTGATCAAGGGTTGTTGGAGGCTCTGTACAAGGCTATCATGGTTGGTCTTGGGTATTGTCACCGTTGGTACATTCAGCGGAGTCGTAAGATCAATACCAGTTGTATGCTGAATTCAAGAGAAGTCAGGATAGTGAACAAATGCTACAGCCGAAGTTGGACGTACAAATTGTGCTCTATTGTTGTGGGGTAACTATTAGCAATTGTAATACCTATTGTACTTCTGCGATCTTTGGTGCACCGCGGTCCCAACACGGCCTAAAACATATCTCTGCCGGGGTCTTACCTTCGTAGCAAAGTCTCGAAATACGCTGCATCGAGCGTCACAGTACCGGTGGCCATACTGGGCAACACAAGAATGCAGATGCAAATTTTGTATCGGGGTGTTCTTCACAGGCCCTTGAAAAAGAAGGGAAATGTCAAGATGCATGAATCCTCTTTCCATAAAAAGCGTATATGCCAAGCCTCGCTTATACTTTTAGCGCTGGATTAGCTCGTAACGCAACTTTATACAATGGAACTATGAACGCTTGGACATGCACAGACGGAGTTACCCCAAGCGCCCCCCTTTTCTGTCTAGGCTAGGTACAGATACCCTTTTGTTCTACCTCCCATTCATCCACCACAACATCATTTTCCATTCAGATAATCACGTTGAAAGCTGTGTGCAATGGTGGGAGAGAACCTGAGTCAGATGAGGCGGATCGTTAGCCATTCGTCGCATTACCCGCCAAAGAAAGCCGTGACGTTCGATGCTTCAGAGGACCAGCTGTCTGGTTGTGGACTCTATGGAATTGGAGGCAGGGCCTTTTCTTTTCACCAGTCAAGCCTTTGACGTTTGGTTATATCGCTTGGAGCCTTTACCCAAAGCTAATGGGAAGAGTCTTCGGGGAGCAAAGCAATCAGCTTACATAGTAATCACGTGATTACTCATCAACTGCTTTGATATTCTTATCATGTTTTTATACTTGACACTGTCACTTGGTGTAGAAAAGCTACAGCCTCATATCATTTGCAACCGCCTCCATTTTTCTCTTTTTTACAAGTTTTTATGTGGTTTCAAGTTATCCTAGTCGAGGGTCATCGTACAGCCGCCACTTGCCCGCCATCAAGATGACAGGCTTAACAACAATGTTGTCTTATTGTTGACGGAGACACCGTATTGATGAATAAGTTCCTTCACAGGGCAAATAAACAGGCTGAGTAGTCATTCAAGTGTAGTGCTGAGTAAGAAGTTCCCCAGCTGAACCTCTCGCCTTACTGACCAATAGCCTATCGGCCGACGCTTTTTCTTAAGCTTACAATCATCCCTGTCACAATGTTATTTGAGACGGCGAGCTTTCTTGCTCAAAATGTTATTGGGTAAATGTATTTGTAGAACTCCGCTCAATGTGTGGTGTCCTGCAGTCGAGCTCAGCTGTCTGATTATGAGGGTTCAGATTGTTCTTATATATACTGACGGTCGACTTTGCGGCTTGTAATCAGCATTATCTACCCGTTCTTTACAATCCCTCGAATATCCCACTAACAACATTTCCTTTCCTCAATAATCGCGTCGATACAAAATATAAATTACTGAGGATGTCAGGCGCATTTTTGCTCTTTGGCCCCACTGAGAATTCTTGGGCAGTGGGGAATAATGCGTGGAGAGCCTGGTACGGAATCCCCTTGAACTTAATTTTGGCTATAGAACTAACTTCTCAAAAGCCAAAAGTTACCTAGATCCTATGCTCCTCACTTTGAAGACGATACCTTTACAGGATTTACAATTCGGTGGTTCGCAGTTGCGCGAAATGGACTTCATTATTTTAGCTTACAGGGCGCCGAAGGTAAAGAAGATACTTCTTGGGAATACTCCAAAGACTAATTGGTGAGCAGGTACTCCAGTTCTTCGAAGCCCGGACCCAAATCTCGAGACCGACACGGCGATTGCAGTTAATGCTACAGGCGAGCCTGTCCAAGAAGTAGACTTTATGAGCTTTGCACCTGATGGTGGCTACTTCGTTTCGTATATCGATGGAAGGTATGTACTTCCGCGTTCAGCTTAAGCTTTGTTGTGGTATGAGATCAAGCAAATTGTGAAGTATGCTAATTGGCTGATTCTAGCGTTCGTCTCTCAACTGTAGGGAAGTTTCCAGACTCTTTCCACGAGCTTGCATCCATTTTCATCAACGCTGGTCCAGGCAGACAGATGTCCGCATTGGAGTTTGTGTTCTTCGGCGCCGATGGCTTCCTAGCTGTATCAAGTGCGGGCCAAATATTCTCAGACGGCCTATCTGACGAACTCCAGAGGATCCTGGCTGACAAGCACACCGATGGATGGGCGTTGGGTAAAGCGTCAAGTTTATGTCAGTGGGATAATACGCAATACTTTCTTGTATGGACGCGCGAAGTTCCATACTCTAATGGACAGGTCGAAACTAGCTATTCCTGGAATATCAAGCCATCGGGATGGTTGACAGATGAACTCATGTGCGAAGTCACAGAAGGAAGAACTCCTACCTCGCATATTTCAAGTCCGCCCTCGGTACATCCTGCAATATTATCTATTAGTGGCCCCAAGAAGGAATTGAAGCCTCTGATCCTTGCCCCTGATGAGTTTCTCGGCCGTCCTCTCCGATCATACGAAGGTACCGACGCCCACGAGTTGAGTTTCAAGAAAGGGGAGACCCTGATGAATGTTCGACGCGACGTTGATGCTTGGTACTCAGCTATCAACGAGAAAGGAGAGAAGGGAGTGGTTCTCAGGAGTAACATCTCCTTGTGGAACAACCCCGTCTATTTCGATGACGGCGTAGGCTACTCCTGCGACAGTTGCAAAGATCTCATAGTCGGTGTCTTCTACCATTGCGATATCTGCGGGAACGGAGATTTCGACATCTGCCAAAAGTGTTACATTGGCTGGGGAAACCAGTGCTATGATCCTGGTCATGTTTTAACTCTCAAACAACAGTTGAATGGGAGATCACTTACATGCGAAGACCCAGCCTGGACAACTGAGGAGACGGAAATCTTGCTGGAAATCCTGGACGCTGATCTATCTCCTGTTGCTGCTATGTCTAGCAAGATTCACGACGTTGTTGATGATCTTCTTGATATATCGAACCTGCACATAGGGACCCCAACACCACCCCAGATCAAGACTAGGTCAAAACCACTTTCCGAGGAGGAGTTTGCGGAATTATTGGAAGTCGTCATCACTACTGAAATCTCGACCGTGAAGTGGGATGAAGTTGTCGGTTTGGACAAAGCCAAGGAAGATATTCAAGAAACAGTAATCCTGCCTATGAAGTTGCCACACCTTTTCAGAGGCAAGCGAAAGGCGAGAAAGGGGTAAGCAACTTTCTTAATTCTCGAGATGAAGCTAATTCGATACAGAGTATTGTTGTATGGACCCCCAAAGACAGGAAAAAGCTACATAGCCGAAGCTGTCGCAGCTGATGTCGGATGCACGTTCCTGAGCATTAACTGCAAAGACATAGTCTCCAAATGGAACAACGAAGCCGAAAGGTAAGCAATCGCATCCCGCCTTAGAACTCCCACACTAACACCCCCAGAATCATCAAAACAGTTTTCGAACGCGCACGCGCCACAACCCCAACCCTCCTCTTCCTCTCCGCCCTCGACTCCATCCCCAACGGCCCCCTCAAATCAGCCCTCCTTCTCCAAATCAACGCATCACCCACCATCCTCCTCTTTGCCTCTACCACCGCACCCTGGGCACTCGACCTTACTCTCCGCAAGAGATTCCAATCGAAAGTCTACGTCCCGCTCCCCGATGAAATGACTCGTACAGCCATGTTCGGCCACGGCGTTGCAGATACGCTGTGCCAGATGGGACCAGCGGATTACGCGAGACTGGGCCGCATGAGCGAGGGATTGAGCGCGGGGGAGATCTTTGAGGTTGTCGAGGAGGTTATTATGGTTCCGGTGAAGAAGTTGAGTTCGGCTACGCATTTCCGTCAAGTAGGTTTATCCTCACTTGGTATATAGGGAAAGGGAATATTTGATTGCTAATAACATTGTGCTCTTGTAGGTCGTCACAGCAGACGGAGTCGAGAAACTCACGCCGTGCAACCCATATGAATCGGGCGCCATGCCTATGAAATGGACCAAGGTTCCCGCTGCGATGCTCTTGGAGCCCGAGTTGGGGGCTGCTGATTTCTTTGCGTTGGTTAATGGCGTGAAGCCTGCTGCTGCAGGTGTGGATGTAAGCAGGTATGAGAAATGGGGTCCTGAGTTTGGGCTTGAGTGAGTAGTTGTTTAGGAAAAGGAGCGATGATTGTGATGGGCAAGTAAGATAGCTTTGAGAACAGCTTTGAGTGGAGTTCATAGGTTGAATGGGATAACTTTCTTAGGGAACCACTTGCACTTGCACATAGGTAGTAGCAGATATCGGATGTTTTGAATGCATATGCTGGATAGACTTGATTTACATATGAATTGTACCGAATTTAATGATGCTGTCAGCGCCATGGACTGTGCGTGTTCCGATACTGATGCAACTTGCGACCAGACCACCCCTTCCAGCTCAGCAAAGATGTTCTAGATTTCGCTCATGAATCGATTTCGGAAAGCAAACAGATAAATATACAAAAACGTGTACAGTATATCGCAGGTCTAGTTTTTCCATTAGAATCTTTCTGATATAATATACTTACGGCATGCGTTTAGTACACAGTCTACTTACGAGATCTGATCAACAGCCGCGCGCATCAGTAGACAGCCACATGACTGATGGCACAATCTACAACTTCTCTGTTGCCTTTCTCTCCCCATAAAACCTGACATCAAATTTCTCATTCTCTCTTGCCATGCGTATCCGAGCTTCCGCTATCACATCGGCTTCGCTGTTTGAATTCTGGCGATGGAAAGAAGACGCGGGGGTTTCACTTTGTTCGAAACCCGCGATTCTTTGCTTGGATTCGGTGGTTTTGGTTGCTTTCTTTTGGTGGTTGGAATTTCTGTTGTCTGGGCTTGTGGTTAGCTGGGGAATGATAGGTAAGGTCGTATCGGATGGAGAACGGAAGATGAGGGAGAAGGGGGGAGTTACTGGGCATTTTGGTCACGTGGTAGATGGGCTTGTATGGGTGGGGATGTTAACGTTGTTATAGATGATAGTGTGAAGGGTTGGTTGGAGTGGAATATGGGCTGAGGGTAATAGGATTGGGTTCAATTGCATTTTGAGATGTTTAGGGGTCTTTATAATATGGGATATGGAGAAGGTCTAGTTGTGGTAGATATGGAAGTGCAAGATATGGAAGTGCAAGATATGGAAGTGCAAGATATGGAAGTGCAAGATATGGAAGTGCAAGATGAAAGCGCATAATGAAAGTGCAAGA